ATACCGCGTTTGAAGCGTCAGTCCAAGCAGATTTTTACCATGAACCAATACACGCCACGCGAGCGCGCTGAAATTCTAAGAACACCTTTAAGCGTTTATACGAACAATTTTCGACTGGTAAGGCTCTTTCTAATCCGAAGAGGCCATATAAAAGTCAACCAAGGCGATCGGCCGAGAATATCGCTGCCGTACGAGCCAGTGTATAACCCAGAAGGATATTAGTAAAATCATTGCACAATGGACCCATATCCAATTTTTCTGCCCAAAACTATTTCAACGTCTCCATATGTTTATCCTAGGAATTAACACCGTTCTCAATATCAAATTTCAAAATTACAACTCTATCCCAGCTCTATCCAAGGCCAAATTAAGTAACATTGAGTACGTATATCCAAAACAGTCGACATCTCTCCAGCCCTGACACCAACAGTGATCGAAAATTCTTCGTATAATTTTAAATTCAATGTCACTGTTTCAGCTTTATACCTTCACCCCATACTCAATTTAGTACTACTTAGTACTTTTCAAAAAAAAAAGTACACATTTCCAAAACTTACTCCACATCTCAATTTCAGATGCCAACAGTGACATATATATTACATTATAGGATTTCAGCTCTATTCCTGAAACCAAAATAAAATGTAGTACAATTCAGTCCATCCATATAAAATTTGAGGACACCAGTTTTATCCTTCAATAAAAAAAATCACGTTTTCACCTCTATCCTTCACCCAATATCCAATTTAGTACCACTTAGAACTTTTCGAAAAATTATAGTACATATTTCCAAAACTTCCTCCACATCCGAAATTCAGATGCCAACAGTGGCATCTATATCAAATTACAGGATTTCAGTTCTATTACTTCAACTAAAATAACTTAACTTATCATTTAGTTCATTTCGTAGAATTATAGTAAACATTTCCGAAACCACCTCCACAGACACCAACGCATTTTCGAAACAACCTTAATAACAAATTTCATGATATCAGTTCTATTCTTTCACCAAAGACTAAATTTAGTACTATTTAGAACTTTTTGTGCATTTATAGTACACATTTCCAAAACCACCTCCATATCTCAATTCAAGATACCAACACAGACCACAATAGCAAATTTCAGGATTCCAGCCCTTTCCCATCACCAAATACCAATTTTAGTACCATTTAGTTCATTTCGTACAATTTTAGGACGCAATACGAACCCACCGCCAAATTTCAAACACACATACCATAAATAATTTAAATATCAAATTTCAGAATTTGATCTGTATCCCTTCACCCAATACCAAATACAGCACCATTCAGTACTTTTCTTACAATTATGGTACAAATTTCAAAAAGAATCTCCGTATGTAAAGGCTACACATGAACAGCGACCATAATTCCAAATTTTAGATTTCAAACACTATCTATTCACCCAATACGATATTGTACCAAATATTGTACTAATTAGTACTTTTCGTTCTCTTGTATTGCACATTTCCAAACCGACTTCTTTATCACAAACCTACCACCAACAGGAATCCCAATACAAAATTTCAAAATTCCTGCTTCTTCCGTTCACCCTAAACCAGCGTATTCCAAATTTAGTAACATTTAGTACAGTTCGCACACCTAGTGCTCATATCCAAAACTGCATAAAACTTACTTTCCAAACTTGATTCTCACACCAAATTTCAATACTTATTTTAAATAATTAGTAGAACTTATAACTTTTCGTAGCCCTAATTTCAAATTTCCAAAAAAAAAAAAAAACCCTTTAGTACATCTATTTTTCACAAATTTCAGAATTCTAGCTCATTGAGTTTCTTCAATAGAAAATATGCAGTTTTCATTACATTTTAGCACTTCTACTACGAATTTCCATAAATCTGTGATAAGGCTAGATGATGCATACCATTGACTGACCCTTGCGCAAAATTTCAAGATTCTAGCTTCAGCCGTTTCGTCTGGACGTTGATTTTCCGTCAGTCAGTCATCCGATTTTATAGTCATGCACTCCATACCAATGATATCTCGTAATAAAGGACACATATAGGGTGAGATGAAAAAACTGCGACCAACTTCAGACTGCTGTCAATTCCAAGCCATTCGCCCGACAGCTGTTAAAATTATTCTAGTGACAGCTCACTATAATGTTTACAAGCGTACAAAAGTATTTTGGTGAGAATTTTCCAGAAAAAAAGTTATTCATGATGGAGTTCGAGCGCGATAGTGTGATTTCTTTATATTTGGCTGGAAAACTACAAGTGGTTATCGTTAGAGCACTCCATCGCTTGTTACCGTGATACTGGTAGCGTAGCCCGACGTCAAGGAGATGGACGGAAAAAAGTAGCAACATAAGCAGAAATGGTTCGAAAAGTACAGAAGCGACTTGATCGAAACCCGCGTCGCAGTGGCCGAAAAATGGCTCGTGAGCTGAATATATCGCAATATTCCATTCGGCAAATATTGTAAAATGAGCTCGGGGTAAAGCCATTGAAGTTTCAAAAAATGCAAGAACTTACACCGCAACAGAAATAAAATAGATAGATAGACATTTTGGCCGCAGACCTTGGACATTCCAACAGGAGCACCATCGCACTCAGCACGCGCCACCCAAGAATGGTTACAAGATGAGTGTCCTCGCATCATTTCAAGCGCACAAGCGCCACCAAAATCTCCGAATACCAATCCGTTGGACTATTGTGTCCGGAGTATTTTGGAAATCAAGTTTGGCACTAGTAAATACCAAAGTGTCGATCACATCAAGCAACCGCTTCGCCGGTAATTTATATATATATATATATATATATATATATATATATATATATATATATATATATATATATATATATATATATATACATATATATACATATAGATATAGATATTGCAAATATCTTTTGATCGGTTATAGATACAGTCTTCGAAATTGGAATGTGTGAGGGAATTTGGTACAAAAATAAATCGGTCAAATTATATTGAAATCGGTCCAGATTTGGATATAGCTCCCATATGTATTTTCGCCCCACATCAGGTATTTATACACCAAAAACGATGTGTATGTTCGATTCCAATGAAAATTTGTACAAAACTAAATTTGTCGAATTATATTGAAATCGGTTCAGATTTGTGTGATAGAACTTAGTTTAAAAATTTATTTGTCAAAGTGCAATGAAATCGGGTGAGGTTTGGATGTAGCTCGCATACATTTTTCGGCCAATTCAATTCAGATTTGTATATAGCCCCCATATATATTTTCGGCTGATTTCATGTACTTGATGTGGCGCCCGGACAAAATCGCCATTGCAATTATGGGGATCATGAACATGTTTATATCCTCCACATTGGAAAGGAGGGTATATTAACTTTGTCATTCCGTTTGTAACATCCCTAAATATTCGTCGTAGATCCCATAAATCAGCATTCATAATCAGCATAAAATTCTAAGTCGATTTAACGATGTCTGTCTGTTGAAATCACAATACAGCCCACATTATTTGACGTAGAGCGTCAAAATTTAGAAGAATCATTTGTATTGTGTCTACAATGGTTGGTATTGAAAATGAGATGTATCCGTTCACGTTTTGGTATAGTCCCCATGTAACGGTACCTTCCGATATTCGGTTTTTTGATGATTTTTTCCACATTTTTTTCACGGATTTGTCTAAAAATTGGTATTTGTTGGTCATAATGGGTTCTAGCTTCGATGGCAAAACATTGCATGTATAGGTATACAATTTGGTATAGCCCCCATATAATGGTACCTCCCGATATGCAGTATTTTTATGGTTGTTTCACATTTTTTCACGGATTTGTTTAAAAATTGTTATTTTTGGTCATTATGGGTTCTGGCTGCGGTGGCGAAACACTGTATGTATAGGTCCACGTTGTGGTATATCTCCCATATAACGGTACCTCCAGATATTCGGTATTTTGATGATTTCTTTGCGGATTCGGCTAAAAATTGGTATTTTTGTGTCCTAATGGGTTCTAGCTCCGGTGCCGACATATTGTGTACAGGTTCATGTTTTTGTATAGCCCCATATAGCGGTACCTCCCGATATTCAATATTTTGATGATTTTGAGAAATTTTCCCACGAATATGTCTAAAAATTGGTATTTGTGGGACACAATGGGTTCTAATGTTTCCCTTACCCTAAGGTGGAGGGTATTAAAAGTTTGGCCCGGCCGAACTTAATGTTTTTTACTTTTTTCTGTTTCTGATGCTCCTGAAGGAAAAACAAAATTCCGAAGTGGACCGGGTTCAGCTAGTTGTATTTAAATTATCCTTAGCCCATTTAATTAAAACAGGAGTGTAGAACATAAAAGCGGACGTTACAAAAAACTGGGAAAATATTTGTAGGGGTTTACAATATATATTGCTCCAAGGGGCACCGTAAGTAGTTGTATTGTCACTTCATGCCTCCAGAAGAGTAATCTTAAACCTAATTTGAAGAGGTAAAATGCCATGATAGTATTAGTCTTTGTTCTTTTTTTCGATATCTTTAAATTAAAGTCCATGAAGAAATAAAGAAATTTAAAACAAACAAAGGAGCTGAAAACACGTTCCCACACATTGTGCAAAATAAGGGAGTTTGTAAGTAATTGTTTCAATAATTTCATTTAACGATTTAACGTTTAACGATTTTTCGTTGTTGTCTTGTTTTTTATTTTTCTGAATTATTACTACTTTCCTGCGGCGAGGACTTACAATAAGAGCATTTACGCCATGAGGGCAACATAACAAACTTAAATAGCTTCGAGCACCATCAAGAAACATTTAGAAAATAATAAATTTTCAAAGTCACGTATAAATTGACTCAAAACGGGCGGTGACATTCTTGGTTGGTGGGAGGTGGGGATCGAACTGGGTGAAAAATTGCTCCATTACAAATTTTTTTTGATAAATCATAATCAACTACTTACCACTGGTAAATGTTCTTTTTGCTCAAGCGAAAGTAAATAAAAGTATTTGTCTTGTCTTTCTTTTTTTTTTTTTTTCTTCTCTTGCAGTGTGAATTACTGCTACGGCGTTTGGGTCCAGCACCAGTGACCGCATACGCCAACAATAATAACAGCAACAACAACAGCAGCAGTAATACAGCCAACACGCCGCAGTTGTCTTCATTAATCTCCACGGACAAGGACAGCGGCATGGGCAGTCCGGTGGGTAGTGCTCGAAGTGCCAAGTTTCGCCGCCGCAAACATAAATCATCGCAGTGGTTGGCCCAGGCAAATACATTGCACCCGAAATTGTCCCGCTGCACGGCCACGGCCAATGAACGTCTTCTCAAGATTATAATGGCCCAGGATGAGACAATTCAACGGCAATTGTCATTGTTACGGTAGGTCCTTGAATAAATTGAGCTTTTGGGTCGAGTGGCACAGTGGCGTGATTTGTGTCAATGGGGTTAATGATGGGACAGCAGAAGGTCGCATACAGAGGGGGGCATCATTGCCATCTTAATTATCCTTAGCATTGACCGCAACAAAAAATGGGAACGAGAGAAAAATCACGTAGTTTCATTTGTGATGTCTAATTTGCCAAGCGGGGAATTGCAATAAATAATAATGTTTAGGTTTTATGCCACGTCCGGTGATACCTGGTGGGGGCAACTTAAATTTTGGTTGTGGGTCATTCATGTTTTAAATATGAAAAGGTAGTAAAACAAATGAAATGAACGTTCAAGGTCTGCGGCCAAAATATTTGCGTGCCCAAGGCCTTAATACACCCTCCAGAATATTTCCGCAATAATATTCGGCATTTATTCTGGTGGCACGGTTGATTAATACGAGTGGAGAGCGACAATCGGCCGTTATGGCTGCCCAAACCATACCATGGCCGGCGCTTGAGAAAACCAAATTCGGCAGTCCACCATTTTCGACCAAGCGCAGCAACTCTTTAGCTCTTTTGAGTCTATTTTCTTTCTGTTTCGTCCACTTCCTTGACGTCTGGCTAAGCTGCCAATATCACTGTAACGAGCGATGGTACGAGACACAAAAGATTTATTCACATTTAAATGCTGGAGTGCTCTAACGTTAGCCACTTATGGTGTTCCAGTCCAATATAAAACCAGTAAAGAAAGTCTTGAAGTCGGGCGGGGACGAGCTCCGCATAAAAATTAAAAGTTTTTATGGGAGAATTCAATCATACACGCTATGATTATAATTATAGTTTAAAGTTCAAAGGACTAAATTTGCCGAAGCATTTGTATCTTTTAAATTCGGTGCAAAATTAATTTGAAATCAGATAAAGATATATATGGGAGCTATATCCAAATCGGAACCGATCTCGATAAAATTTGGCAAAGATATTTCTGAGCTGTATTTGATATATTTTCCTGAATATAGTTGTTACGGAGTGCATATTACGGCTGTGGGTAACAAATATAACAAATCGGATGAACAGTATATGTGGGAGCTATAGCCATATCTGAACCGATCTTCACCAAATTTGACATACTATCTTCTAGACTCAATTCGGTCGTAAGTGCCAAATTTCATCCCATTTGGGCAAATATTAGACGTTTGGTGCACAATCAAAGGTAAATCGGACGAAGTTATATATGGGAGCTATATCCAAATCTGAACCAATCTCGATAAAATTTAGCAAAGGTATTTCTGATCTGCATTTGATATATTTCCCAAAATATTGTTGTTACGGCTGCGGAGGACAAAAATAACAAATCGGATGAACAATATATATGGGAGCTATAGCTATATCTGAACCGATTTGATTAAATTTGGCATACTTATTTTCAGGCCTAATTTGGTTGTATGTGCAAAATTCCATATTATTCGGGCTGATATTACACGTTTGGTGCACAATAAAAGGCAAATCGGACGAACATATATATGGGAGCTATATCTAAATTTTAACCGATTATCTCCAATTTCAATAGGGTTCGTCCTTGGGCCAAGCAAATGATTTGTGCAAAATTTACAAAAATACATGGTCAGGCTGACAGATGGACGGACAGACGGACGGATAAGCGGACGGACGGACATGCATAAATCGACTCAGAATGTGATTCTATGCAGATCATCAAAAGGAACTATGGGTCTATCTCGTTTAATTTTACCTGTTACAAACAAATGCACAAATAAAAATCACACTGGAAAATCGGGAAAATTCTCACCAAAATGCTTTTTACGCTTGTAAACAATATAATGATATGTCACGGGAATAATCTTAACAGCAGTCGGACAAGTGGCTTTGGCAGTCTCAAGTTAGTTGCAGTTTTTTCATCTCACCCTGTACAGATTGGCCTGAAATTCGGCCTGTTGATTTCTCTATTTATATATATGCATGGAGTAAGGATTTGCGGATTCATGCTATAGTAATATAGTGAAGTGTTTTATTTTATACTAGATTGTGCCCACTTTTTTCAACGAAGCCCATGTTAGTACTTTTTAGTACTCAAAATGAGCAATTTGTCCATTGTGACAACATTTTTTAATCAAATCTTCGTACATCGTATTAAATTTTCAGGCTTTCAAAGTCTTATATATTATTCAAGTTTTTCCTTTTTCGGAAAGAATGAAAGGATAATGTTTACCTTTTACACGAAAAAAATTTCAGAATTTTTTATTTTGAAATTTTTTTTCATTTACCATTGCACTATGGACCCTAATCCAATTTTTCTGTCCAACTCTATTTCAACGTCTTCATATGTAAACCCTAGAAACCTACAGTGAAACCAGTATCCAATTTCAGAATTTCAACTCAATTCCTTCAGCCAATACCAAACTTAGTAACATTTAGTACGCATATCCCAAATGATCCCTTATTTTAGACACCTACCGTAATCCACAATTAGTACTATATAAATAAGTACCATAATATATGCGGATATGAGTACTAAATGTTACAGAGTTTGGTAATGGGTGAAGGATTAAGCTGAATACTGAAATTGGTTTCTATGATTTATGTAAGAAAATGTTAAAATAGTTTTTGACAGAAAACAATTATAATACGCATTTGCAAAACCACCATCAGATACCAACAGAGACCTCAAATCATATTTCAGGGTTCCATCTCTATACATTCACTCAAAACCCAATTTAGTACTTATCGTACAATTATAGTACTCGTTTGCAAAACTCATTTGATAACTGTTGGTGTCTAGGATTGAGATACGGAAATTTCAATCCTAGACACCAACAGTTATCGCAATATTAAATTTCACGGTTTCAGCTCTATCTCTTCAACAAAGACAAAATTTAGTACCATTTAGTACTTTACGTACAATTATAGTATACATTTCCAAAACTACCTCCATATCTCGATTCCCGATACCTATAGAAACCTCAATATATATCTTCCCTTCACCAAATACCATAATTCGTACCATTTAGTACTTTTCGTACAAATATAAAATACATTTCTAAACCACCACCAAATCTCAACCAAAGATACCATCAGTAATCCAAATATCAAATTTCAGGATTTTATCTCCATACCTTCACCTAATCTTAAATTTGGTACTTTTCGTACAATTATAGTACAAATTTCCGAAACCACCTTCATATATCCAGGCTGCACCTTCATATTTAAAGGCTACACATCATAGCTGATACCAAATATCAGGTTTCAAGCACCATTTGTTCACCCAATACCAAATTGTACAAACTATAGTACTTTTGTGCACTTGTTGTACACATTTCCAAAAGCACCTTCTTATCAAAACTCTACCACAACCAGGGACCCCAATATAAAACTTACTGTCCAACCTTTATTCTCATAGTAAATTTCAAGTTTTTGGTACGGAAATTTAGTACGATTTTAGAATTGTTGGTAACCTTAAAGTTCGAACTTCCAAACACCATTTGGTACATCTGCACTCCATCAGCGACTCTCATTTCAAATTTCAGAATTCTAGATCATTCCGTTTGACCAATGGGAAGTATTAAATTTCTATGACATTTTAGTACATTTACAATTTAATTTACCAATTAAAAAAAAAAATGCTCTCGTATGTAATGCAACCTTGGCCCCATTACACCACGGATTACATCCCGTCGTTAGTTGCCATGTTGACATGTACGATAATTAAAAGAGAATGTCATTGGCTGCAATTAATAAAGTTTAACTTGAATTTTTACTTTAATGTTTTCTTTTTATTTATTTCTCTTTTCGCTTTTTCAACATTTATTTCATGTTGTTGTTGTTGCTGCTGTTGTTACATGTGGCATGTTTACATTACCTTCCCGTTTGCCATTGACCAACAACGTGTGGCCGGTGGTCATGTGTCTTCCTTAACAATCGTTTGTGGCACAATCACATTCCTACAAATCTCAAACACACAAAAACAAAAAAAAAACTTTATATCCTTACAACTACACACACACACACTCATATGTCCACATTTTCTCACACACACACACACCCACACAATGGCAAAAAACTTTCCCCATACAACAAACAGCGAAAAGGAGCGTCAAATTAACAAGATTGAAGAGGAGAAACATCGCAAACGTGAACGTGAGCTGGGTAAAAACTATCTGCTGGAAACATACCTTAATGGCCTGGACGAGGCGGAATGTCAGCCGCAACCACAGGATGGAGAGGAAATTTTTATAGGTAAGATATAACCAAATATTCCGCTGTTCTACTTAAAATGCATAAATTATAAAAAAGTAAAAAAATGCACACACACACTCACATACAAGGACGAGTTCGAAAATTAACACAGACATCTTAAACATGTCATAATATTTAATGGCAACTTATTTTCACTTGTTTTGGAGGTCTTTGTTAAAAAATCATAGTTATGAGTGTTGTTATGATCATTATTATTACACTGGCCAACACAAAAATAGTTATTGTTCCTTAAAATAGAAGACATTTTTGAAAGTTTACATTGCAAAGTAGTCTGAATTGAGGGGCCAGGTATACAGTGTCTTCGGTATTATTGCAGTAAAAAAACAAGTAAGCAAAGGCTACAGTCGAGCGGGGCCGACCGTTGAATACCCTACAACACTATAATAAACGATACAGTTTATTTAGGCGAGATACTCGAAAGAATTGCACAAGATAGTGTGACAAATAATAAAAGAAAACAATCAGGTTTCGTTCTCTAATTTTAGAATAGCAACTTAAACTAATTTGCTCATTTCCAATTTATTGGTAGATGTTGCACTTAAATGGTCTTCCTAGATCTGGAACCAATATTTCCCAAAGATCTCAATTATTGGTTTTTGACTGAAATGCATCTATCTGAGATACAGACATTTGACTATATTCTTCAATGAAATCAGCGTAAACGAAATAGTCAGAAGTGCGTCTTTCCTGTATTTGTGAATTCTCCAAAAATTCACTGGAATGGACATTTTCTTATTTTGTCTACAAAAGTTGGCAAACTCCTTCACACATTGAATATTTTTGGATGGCCATCCAAAACTGCTTGGCTTTTGCAATGTCTGCTAACCCCCATTCAAATGTGCGTGAGGATCGGGCGATAATTACGACCTGCCGACAATTTTGCAGTTTTTTGGTCCATTTCAACCCCTAAATATATGGCGATCATCTCCAAAAAGAGTAGGCTCCTATTCTGACCCTCATTTTATCCCCATGCAAAATTTCGTAAGGATCGGGCCATAAATGCGATCTGTATGTGATATCCTGATATCCCAACTACTTAGTTTTGTTAGCTGTAGGAATATTACCAAATGTTTAATTCAAAATGAAAATATGCCAAAATAAATATGACAAAATTGAAAAAATATGAGAAAATTTTACAAAATCAATATTTTCATCTTTAGAGAGATATTTTTATGCGATTTTTTTAGACGTTTTTTCTTTCCTGCCAAGAGGCCATTCTTAATTAATGAGAACTGTCGAAATCAGTTCAGCCGTTCTCGACATATAAGAGATCTTTCAAGCATATCTTCTTTGATAGACATATATATCGCACACATTTTGCTATATATCCGATTTGTTGGATGTTAACATCAATGTAAAGATCAGAAGTAACCTTGTCATGGCTTTATGATTTCGCCGGGATTTAAAATGTTCGCGGTTTGATGAAAAATTTTGAATTTTTTCAATACAGAAGATATGGTCTATTTTACCCGCTAAATATTATCCGATGACCACCCAAATTGGTAGGCTTCTTTCCCGCCCTAAACTCCAGCTACATGCGAAATTCCGCGTCGATTGGTCTATAATTGCGACCTGTATAGCTTCTGCAAAATCCGACATTTTTTCAGTATTTGGTCCATTTCAACCCCTAAACATTTGGCGATCATCTCCAAAAGCAATAGGGTTCTATTCTGGTCCAAGCCCCACCTACATTCTAAATTTCGTGAAGATCGGACCGTAATTGCGACCTGTAGAGTGATTACAAATTAACATGGACAGACGGACAGACGGACAGACGGACGGACGGACATACATAGCTAGATCGACTCAGCTCGGCGAGCTAGGAAGATCCATATATACTTTCCTATATGGGAAATCAATATTTGGAGGTGTTACATAAATTCTGGCCCAATCAAACTTATAATACCCCCAACACATAGTGTTGTAGGGTATAACAAGTAAGCAAAAGCTACAGTCGAGCGGGGGCGGCCGTTGAATACCCTACAACACTATAATACACGATACAGTTTATATAGGCGACATACTCGAAAGAATTCCACAAGATATTGTGACAAATTATAAAAGAAAACAATCAGGTTTCGTTCTCTAATTTTCGAATAAAAGCAACTTAAACTTATTTGCTCATTTCCAATTTATTGGTAGATGTTGCACGTAAATGGTCTTCCTAGATCTGAAACCAATATTTCCCAAAGACCTATAATCTCTCAGAAAAGATTAACATTTATTATTGTTTTTTGACTAAAACGCATCTATATGAGATACAGACATTTGACTATATTCTTCCACGAAATCAGCGTTAACGAAATAGTCAGAAGTGCGTCTTTCCTGGACATTTTCGTATTTTGTCTACAAAAGTTGGCAAACTATTTCGCACATTGAATATTTTTGGATGGCTATCCAAAACTTCTTGGCTTTGCAATGTCCGGTAACCCCCACTCAAATGTGCGTGAGGATCGGGCGATAATTATGACCTGCTAACAATTTTGCAGTTTTTTGGTCCATTTCAACCCCTAAATATATGGCGATCATCTCCAAAAAGAGTAGGCCTCTATTCTGACCCTCATCTTATCCCCATGAAAAATTTCGTAAGGATCGGGCCATAAATGCGATCTGTATGATGATATCCTAACTACTTAGTTTTGTTAGCTGTAGAAATATTACCAAATGTTTAATTCAAAATGAAACAAGTAAGCAAAGGCTACAGTCGAGCGGGGCCGACCATTGAATACCCTACAACACTATAATAAGTGATACAGTTTATATAGGCGAGATACTCGAATGAATTTTACAAGATATTGTGACAAATAATAAAAGAAAACCATCAGGTTTCGTTCTCTAATTTTCGAATAATAGCAACTTAAAATGCACGTAAATGGTCTCCCTAGATCTGGAACCATTATTTCCCAAAGACCTATAATCTCTATAATAATGTGGCAAAAGATTAACATTTATTATTGGTTTTTGACTGAAACGCATCTATATGAGATACAGAAATTTGACTATATTCTTCAACGAAATCAGCATTAACGAAATAGTCAGAAGTGCGTCTTTCCTGTATTTGTGAATTCTACAAAGAGTCACTGGAATGGACATTTTCGTATTTTGTCTACAAAAGTTGGCAAACTATTTCACACATTGAATATTTTTGGATGGCCAATGTGCGTGAGGATCGAGCGATAATTACGACCTGCTGACAATTTTGCACTTTTTGGTTCATTTCAACCCCTAAATATATGGCGATCATCTCCAAAAAGAGTAGGCTTCTATTCAGACCCTCATCTTATTCCCATGCAAAATTTCGTAAGGATCGGGCCATAAATGCGATCTGTATATGATATCCTGATATCCTAACTACTTAGTTTTGTTAGCTGTAGAAATATTACCAAATGTTTAATTCAAAATGAAAATATGCCAAAAATATGAGAAAATTGAAAAAATATGAGAAAATGTTACAAAATCAATATTTTCGTCTTTAGAGAGATATTTGTATGCGTTTTTTAGACGTTTTTCCTTTCCTGCCAAGAGGCCATTCTGAATTAATGAGAACTGTCGAAATCAGTTCAGCCGTTCTCGACATGTATGAGATCTTACATGCATATCTTCTTTGATAGACATATATATCGCACATATTTGCTATATATTCGATTTTTTGGATCTTTTAGATCAATGTAAAGATCAGAAGTAACCTTGTCATGGCTTTGTGATTTCCCCGGGATATAAAATTTTCGCGGTTTAATGAAAAATTTTGAATTTTTTCAACAAAAAAGATATGGTTTATTTTACCCGCTAAATGTTATCCGATGACCACCCAAATTGATAGGCTTCTTCCCCGCCCTAAACTCTAGCAACATGCGAAGTTCCGCGTCGATTGGTCTATAATTGCGACCTGTATAGCTACTGCAAAATCCGACATTTTTTCAGTTTTTGGTCCATTTGGACCCCTAAATGTTATGCGACCATCTCCAAAAGAAATAGGGTTCTATTCTGACCCTAGCCCCACCTCCATTCTAAATTTCGTGACGATCGGGCCATAATTGCGACCTGTAGAGTGATTACAAATTAACATGGACAGACGGACAGACGGACAGACGGACGGACGGACATACATAGCTAGATCGACTCAGCTCGGCGAGCTAGGAAGATCCATATATACTTTCCTATGTGGGAAACCAATATTTCGAGGTGTTACATAATTTTTGGCCCAATCAAACTTATAATACCCCCAACACATAGTGTTGTAGGGTATAATTATAATACCCCCAACACATAGTGTTGTAGGGTATAAATATGCCAAAAATATGACAAAATTGAAAAAATATGAGAAAATGTTACAAAATCAATATTTTCATTTTTAGAGAGATATTTTTATGCAATTTTTTTAGACGTTGCCAAGAGCCCATTCTGAATTAAAGAGAACTGTCGAAATCAGTTCAGCCGTTCTCGACATATAAGAGATCTTTCAAGCATATCTTCTTTGATAGACATATATATCGCACATATTTTGCTATATATCTGATTTGTTGGATGTTAACATCAATGTAAAGGTCAGAAGTAACCTTGTCATGGCTTAGTGATTTCGCCGGGATTTAAAATATTCGCGGTTTAATAAAAAATGTTGAATTTTTTCAACACAAAAGATATGGTATATTTTACCCGCCAAATATTATCCGATGACCAGCCTAATTGGTAGGCTTCTTCCCCGCCCTAAACCCTAGCTACATACGAAATTCCGCGTCGATTGGTCTATAATTGCGACCTGTATAGCTACTGCAAAATCCGATATTTTTTCAGTATTTGGTCCATTTCAACCCCTAAACATTTGGCGATCATCTCCGAAAGAAATAGGCTTCTATTCTGACCCTAACCCCACCTTCGTGCAAAATTTCGTAAGGATCGGGCCATAATTGCGACCTGTAGCGTGATTACAAATTAACATGGACAGACGGACAGACGGACGGACGGACATACATAGCTAGATC